AAGATAAGGTGACCATAGGTTCGTGGATTTATCTCTGGGCTTTCTATTCTGTTCCATTGATCTATATTTCTGTCTTTGTGCCAGTACCATACTGTCTTGATGACTGTGTTAGCACTGCCTGTTAACCTCTTGTTTTCTGTGTGCTCTCTTCCCCCATTGTTCCTTTTTCCTTGTGTTTCTGTCTGCCATTTTGGTTTGGTGGTTTTCTATAATCTTTTTCTCAATTTCCTCTTTTTTTTTTGGTTTCAGATTTCTGCTCTGGATTTATGTTTTGTGATTACCATGAGGTTTGCATAAAATACATCATAAATAAAACAGCCCTTTGTATGCTGATAGCATCTTATCTTCACTTACCTATACAGGTCTGTCCTCTTCCTCTTCCCCTTTCATGTTCTCCTTGTCTTAAATGATCCCCTTTCATGTTATGAGTCTGTTACCAAACTGAAGTAGCTTTAGTTGTTTTTACTGCTTTCCTTCCTTTTAACTTTATGCTCCAACAGTGTGTCTAAAAATCTATTCTGACTGAGTTGGGATTTTCTGATTCTATTTATATCTCACTCAAGGTTTTGTGTACTTTGGCCTTTTCATTTCAGGCAGAAGAGCTTCTTTGAACATTTCTTGTAAGGCAGATCTAGTGGTGATAAACTTCCTCAACTCTTGTTTGTCTGGGAAAGTATTTCTCTTTCATATCTGAAGGATAGCTTTGCTGGATATTCTTGGCTGACAGTTCTTATATTTCAGTAGTTTGAGAACATCATTCCACTTCCTCTTGGCCTACAGAGTTTCTGTTGAGAAAACTGCTGATAGCCAAATGGGGGTTTCTTTGTAGGCTATTATCCTTTGCCAATTGGTTGCCCTTAAAATTCTTTGCCATTGACTTTTGACAGTTTTAATATAATGTGTCTTGGAAAGAAAGTATTTTTGCATTGAATTAATTAGGTATTCTCTCAGCTTCATGGACTTTTATTAATATATCTAGTTCCTCTCCCATGTTTGGGAAGTCCCCAGCTATTATTTCTTTATATTCTCTATTTATCATTAATTTTTGCCATTTTAATTGCAATGTACCTTGCTGTGGATCTCTTTAGGTAGATTCTGTTCGGGATTCTTTTCTTCCTGGGCTTGTATATGTTTCCTTTCCGTAACCTGGGACTAGGTTAAAATGGGCTACTTTCAGCTATTATGTCCTCAAGTATATTCTCTAATCCTTTTTCTTTCCCTTTTTCCCCTGGAACCTCTATAATGTGAATATTAGTATGCCTGGGAGTTGTCTCAGATGTCTCAAACTGTCCTTACATCTTTTTATTCTGTTTTCTATTCAGCTTCAGTGATTACCACTACTACTTGTCTTCCACCTCACTGGTCTAGTCCCCTGTATCATTTACTTTACTATTGATTTCTTCTAGTGTATTTTTCATTTCAGTTATTGTATTCTTCATCTTTGTTTGTTCTTTATATTTTCTAATTCTTTGTTAAAAACTTTTAATTTTTCTGTTTATCCATTCTTCCTGTTCTCTGATCATCTTTACAATCATTACCTTGAACTTTTTCTTGGGTAGACTGACTATCTCCACTTCACTTAGCTCTTCTGGGGTTTAAATCTTTTTCCTTTGCTTGGAGCATATTTCTATGTTGCCTCATTTTGCCAAAATGGCTGTTTTCATGTCTATGTAGGTTGGTTATGTTTCCTGATCTTGGAGAGGTGGCCTTTTGTAGGAGATGTCCCAGTGTTTCAGAAGCATACTCCCCTCTGGTCACTAGAGCTGTATGCTTGCTCTAGGAGTGACCCCTAAGTGAGCTGCTGGGACCCTTCTGTTGTGGCAGGCTAGCTACCATGGGTGGTCTGGTAGGCTTCGTTATCCCGTCGTCTGGTTGGTTCAGAGGCCTTGTCTTTTGTGGGGGCTGCAAGGACCACAAGGCAGCTGGGGGCAGCACCCAGGGGCTGAGATGGGTGCACTGGGGTGGGTGCTGACTCACTGGTGGGTGAAGTCAATGTTCGGGGGATCCCGCCAGCCCGCAGGCAGGCAGAGATGTGTCCTGGGGTCTGGCTGCAGGACCCAGAGGTCCCAGAGCTGATGTCATACTGCCAGTGGGTGGGGCTGGTACCTGACACAGCTGGATGAGGGGTCCAGGGTGTCTTGAAGCTTGTGCTGGCCTTCTGGTGGACAGGGCCAGGGCCCAGCTGGTCCTGATTTTGGTGCTGGCCTGCTCACGTTGAGAGCTAGGTCCATAGGCTGCAGGACTGTCTCTTTCCTGCACTGGTACTTGTCTGCTGGTGGGTGAGGCTGGGCCTGCAGCTAGAGCAGGCTTGCTGGTGGCTGAGGCAAGAGATTCTGGGTCTGGTGCCCGCTGCTGGTGGGAGGAGCTGGATCCCAGGGTCTCTGTGTATAGGGTCCTGGGTGTCCCAGGTCTAGGGCCTGCACATGGGTGTGTGGGGCCTGGCCCTTGGCCCCCTGGTGGGCAGAGTCATGTCCAGGGGAAGGTGTGGACTCAGGGGTCTTAAGGCAGCCTGTCTGCTCTTGGGTGGGGCTATGTCCCTGCCCAGTTAGTTACTTGGCCTGAAATGTCCCAGCACTGGTGCCTAAGGCCAGTGGATATGGGTGAGGCTGGGTTTGGAGACGAATAAGCTAAAGGGAAGATTCCAAAATGGTGTGAGCCAGCACGGGAGTCCATATGTTAGAATGAGTGCCCCCAAGTGGCTGCCACCAGGGCTTACATCCTTGAGGGTGAGCTTCCATTAACTGGCTCCTGCCTCCCTGGGGAGCTTCCCGGTGGCTCAGACTATAAAGAATCTGCCAACAATGCAGGAAACCCGGGTTTGATCCCTGGGTCAGGAAGATCCCCTAGAGAAGGGAATGGCTTCCTAGGGGACTGTCCAACTTCCGCCTGTGGGTCTGACCCAGGCTCCTTTCAGATTATTGCTTCTGCCCTAGGTCCATGTGAGAGTCTGTGTGCATCTTTTAAGAGTGGAGTCTCTCCCACATCCCTCTGACTCTCCTCAAAGTAAGCCCTGCTGGGCTTCAAAGTCAAACATTCGGAGAGCTCATCTTCCTGGAGAAGGATGCCCAGGCTGTGGGAACCAACATGGAGACCAGACCCCATGCTCATTAGGGACAGCCTTGCAATTGTGATTACTCTTTCATTCATGGGTCACACATTGGGGAATATGGGTCTTCATTAAACTGTGACCCCCACCACCTACCCATCTCATGGCTCCTTCTTTATCATTAGTTGCAGAAGATTTTTTTTGAAAAAAATTCTTTTGGCTACACTCGGTCTTCACTGCTGCATGCGGGCTTTCTCTAGCTGTTGACAGTGGGGGCTACCCTCTAGTCAGGGTGCATAGGCTTCTCATTGCAGAGGCTCCTCTTGTTGTAGAGCTCAGGCTCTACAGAGCACGTGGGTTCAGTGGTAGCAGATCGCAGGCTCTAGAGCATAGGCTCAGTAGTTGTGGCTCCCAGATTCAGCTGCCCTCGGCATGTGGAATCTTCCTGCACCAGGGATTGAACCTGTGTCCCATACATTGGCAGGTGGATTGATTCTTTGCCACTAGACCACCAGGGAAGTCCAATAGGAGATGTAGGTTCTGATCTTTTTCACTGATAGGTGTTCTGGAAACAGCTGCAATTTTAGTTTGCCTGTGGAAGGAGAGGAGCTCCTTCCACATACATAAAAGGTAACTAAAAATGGACTACAGACTTAGCTATAAAAGCTTAACTTGTAAAATTTCCAAGAGAAAACAGGAGACCATCTTAGTGACTTAAAGTTAGGCATGAACTTCTTTAAAAAGGACACAAAAAGCACAACCTATAAAAGAAAAAGTTGATGAACTGAACTTCATAAAAACATTTGCTCTTCAAAGTGAAGATAAAGATAAAAAACTGAATAAAAAGGCAAGCCACACACAGGGAAGAAAAATGAGTGTTTGATAACAGATTTGTATCCAGAATACACATAGAAATCTTACTACTCAGTAAAAAAACTAACAAGCCCCCCACAAACGGGCAACAGATATGAACATATCTGGATGGAAAATAAGTAGACAAGAAGACAGCCAACACCATGAATCAACAGTCAAAACTAAAACCACAATGAGCTTTCAGTACACATATACTTGAATGGCTAAAATTTAAATGATAGACAATGTCCTGTGTTGGCCAGGAGGTGTTGTAAATCGGAGTTTTTATATGTGGCTGACAGTGATGCAAATGATACAGCCACTTTGGAAAACAGTATGCAGTTTCTTATAAAGTTAGCCATAAACTTACCATGTGACCTAGCAATTTCATTTCTAGGTATTTAACCAAGAAAAATGACAACATATGTCCACAAAAAGACTCACACTTACATGCTCACAGCAGTGTTATTCTTAATAGTCCCAAACTGGAAAGTACTGAATAAACCATCAACTGGTGAATGGCTATTCATACAATGCAATTCCACTAGGCAATAAAAAGGAGCAAATTACTGATATGCACAATATGAATGAATCTTAACAGCTCTCTGCTAACTCAAGAGAACCCTGACACAAAAGACTGCACACTGGATGATTTGATCTATGTGAAATTACAGAAAGAGCAGTGTTAAAGTGACAAAGTGGATCAGTGCCTGCCAAGAGCCAGAGGATCAGGGACGGGCTCTGACTGCAATGAATCAAAGAAGAATGTTTCCAGGTGATGGAAACATTCTGTATGACTGTATGACTGTGGTGGTTGTTACACTGCCATAAATCCTTGTCAGAATTCTTATTTTGTACCCCTAAATGTGGTGAATTTATTTTACATAAATATTCCTCAATACAGCTTACAAAAAAAAAAAAAAAAACTTTCATGCCAGGGCCAACACCCAGAAAGCCCATTACACGGTGATCTCCTGACCACAGGGTATGAAGAATGTGTCACTTTGAGCCACTACCTGATGCTGCAGAGCCCGTTCCTGGTGGAGATGCCAATTGCAGTAATGCTATGGACGGTTTCTTGGTAGTAAAACCATCTATCTTAGTCCCACCGCTGCCACTGACACCCTGCTGGAAAGTAAGAACACAAGGAAAGAGACTGAACATCTCAAGCATCATATTATAGAATAACTGGCAGATCTTCAACTTCACATGTTAAACAGAAAAAAAAAGTACATATCAATACATAACTGAGAAGTAAAATATTTTCAGCCTGTCCCCAAGAATGTGGCCAAAGTTCCTTTGCATATAATGTTAAAGATATGGCTTGTGTGTGTGTGTATACACACACACACACACACACACACACACATATATATATATGTATATATATATAATAAAAGGCTGTACTGGGTCTTAGTTGTGGCAGGTTGAGGCATGCACGGTCTTTAGCTGAGGCATGCAAACTCTTGGTTGCAGCATGTGGGTTCTAGTTCACTGACCAAGGATCGAACCCAGACCTCCTGTACTAGAAGCATGGAATCTTAGCCCCTTGACCACCAGCGAAGTTCACTACTGCTTTCTGAGCACATTCCAGGGCTACTGTGGTGTCACAGATAGTAAAGAATCTGCCTGCAATGCAGAAGACCCAGGTTCAATCCCTGACTCAGGAAGATCCCTGATTCTTGATCTAGATCATCAGATTCTGAACATTTGTTAAAATGGTTATACCTTGAAGGGAGGACTGAAGAAAACCTTAGTGAAAATACTTATGCTTGTCTTGGATCCTATATCTAAATATAGGAAAGTCTTACCCCGAAGTTTAAACTGACAAATAAATCTGAGAAGGCCTTTTTCCATAAAGAGATGAAAAGTTAAAGTGACAAAAATTTTTTCATATAAAATTTATATGTATCAGTATAAAACTATAAACTGCCTACTTTACTGATAAATAATGACAGAAAGGAGCTCTCCCCATACAGACCTGCTATCCCACAGTTATGTCTGAAAAAGTAAAACTGTTAAATTTATGTCTTGTCAGTATGGCTTGCTCCTAATCTAAACAGCCCATAACCCCAGTTGTAAGAGAACATATTTTTTCTAGGCAATGAACATTTAAGTTTAATACCTAGATATCAAATTTTAAAGCAGAGGGGAAATCCAGTTCACAAATAAAGTTTGAAAGATAGCACTTGGGGGAAAACCTAGCAAAGTAGGTAAGAATTCAGGACATAGAAAATTCTTTCACTGAAGCTTTTTAAATGGAGTCAGGAGGGAATACCATGTGTTTCTGTAGAACAAAGTCTTAACCTCAGCTGTAATGAAGGTTACCCTTAGCTGTAATGCAGACTAGGCCATTCATTTTGAGCTTTGGCACAAAAACCTTAATTTTAATAAGAGGACACCTAGTTACTTTCTCGCTTGTGTGTTGGAAGTTAGCATCACTTACACACACAGTTTCTGGGGATACACAGGATTGGGGCCTGTCCCCCTGCAGGAGGTCAAGCTGGAGCAGGGAGTTGCTCCCTGAGTTAATGAGGGGGCGTCCTTCATTCCATGTCTCCCACTTCTCCTTTCTGCTCCTTGGGTTGATGGTTGAAGATGGTGGGCCTGGGTTTGGAGCCACTGCTGATACCGAAGAGAGTATTTCCGAAGAGGGTGCTGCTCCCAAGAAGGGATATGGGGAGAATGATGATGACGAGAGGGGAGAGAGAAAGGGGTTATGCAGGAAGATGTTCATAAAAGTGTCAAAGTGAGCAGAAGGCAGAGCTGGGAAATACTGCAGGCTGCTAGGCAAGGGTGGCTCAGGCAGCCTTGGCAGTACAGTTACCGAGGCTTCATGTTCTCTGCCAAGGGAGGTCGTGGCTGGGAGGGGAGGAGCTGGGACGAGGCAAGGGGCTGAGCTGGGAACCATCACTGCAGCTGGGAGCAAGGGGCTAGAGGCACGGGGACAGGAGGCGGAGGAGGGGCACCAGGGCTGTCCATCCTGGTGGGGACAGAAGTGATCTTTGGCGCTCCTGCCGTCCAACCACACAAGACGCTTCTTACGCTTGTGTTTCCCCTTCTTGCAACCAGCTGATCTTGTCAGCCTGGAAGCAGAACCTCCTGCAGGATAAAGAGGAAGATGAGTTACAGAAAACTAACCCAGAACAGAAGGACTCAATTGACAGGTAGTTTAAGCACATTACAAGGAATAAACATTGGTCAATAATAACCATGTCTACTAAAGGAATGATAGAAAGTAGACCTAGAAAGATGAACGAGATCCTGGATACAAGCTGTTGCTATAAAGTAAACCCCATTTCAGCATCTCTCAGTCATTTTCTTATAAGCAAACCTCCTACACTTCATTCCACATCTTCCAGGACTCATGTATGATTCCTAAACTTGATAACTCTGTTGATAAATGGAATACATATATATATATTAATTTATTTATAATTAGAGGATAATTGCTTTACAATGTTGCAGTGGTATCTGCTGTACAACCATGCGAATCAGCCATGAGTATATGTATACCCCTCCTTCCTGAACCCTCTCCCACACACCCCCCTCCCACCCCTCTGGGCTGTCACAGAGCACTGGGTTGAGCTCCCTGTGATACCGCAGCATCCCACCAGCTGTCTATTTCACACATGGTCATGTACATGTTTCAGTGCTGCTCTCTCAGTTTGTCTCTCCCTTCCTTCCTCCGTCCCATGTCCACAAGTCTGTTCTCTACGTCTTCATCTGTATTCCTGCCCTGCAAATAGGTTCATCAGTACCATTTTCCTAGGTTTATATGGAATATATTTTTAAAAATTTAACTACCTTGAACATACAAATATTTAGCTTTGCTTCTGCTTTCCTGCTGAAGATAGGAGTTACAGGGTGACGACAGAATCTTCTCCCGGAATTTATCTACATGGCTCTGCCCTTCCTTCTGTGTGTGGGCTGACAGCACAGCCTTTGTGAGCCCTGAGTGTCTAAACGCTTCTGCGGCCAGTGGAGCTGGGTGTGTGCTGAGAGTCCAGGGCTCACACACCAGTAGTATGTGCTCTGCTGAGTCAATTCCGCTGAAGCGGAAGAAGACAGATTTAATTTTCACTCCAACTGGTTATTTTGCATTTATTTACTTTCACTAATTTAACTGCCTTTCAATAAATTTTTACAATCATTACAATGGTTGGAACATAAAACCTCCATCAATCTAGCAGGTACATTTTTATTTTTCGGCCTTGTTTTACACTCTTTGCATACTTATATATACATTTTGGGCTTCCCTTGTGGCTCAGCTGGTAAAGAATCGTCTGCAATGTGGGAGACCTGGGTTTGATCCCTGTATTAGAAAGAACCCCTGAAAAAGGGAACAGCTACCCACTCCAATAATCTGGCCTGGAGAATTCCATGGACTGTACAGTCCATGGGGTCACAAAAAGTTGGACACAAGTGAGTGACTTTCACTTACTGACTTACATACATTTTAGAGTTGTAATGCTCAATGTGCACACATTTATTTAGATCCTGCTTTCATTGTAAATATTTTTTATCTCCATAAATTCTTTGAAAAATTGTTAGCTCTGGATTAATCTTTTAATATGTAATATAAATAAGTGGTTCAAAAATCAACATGTGTTAGACATTTAGTAGCTTCTCCCCAACCCTTTTTAACACCTGCCTAGTTCTCATTTATTCTCCCCACAGAAAACCCTTTATTTGCTTATTTATCTACTTTCTTTAAGCATATGTAAATAAGTACAGATATAGATTCTTATCCCTCTTCCTCATTTTTACCCAAAAGGCATATAATCTTGTACACTAACCTGCAAATTTTTCATTTAACAATATCCCTTTTATCAGTACATCACATAGGATTCCACTTTATGTGCATGCATGCCGCATGCTAAGTTGCTTCAGTTGTGTCTGACTCTTTGCGACTCCATGGACTGTAGCCCACCAGGCTCCTCTGTCCATAGGCTTCTCCAGGCAAGAATACCAGAGTGGGTTGCCATGCCCTACTCCAGGGGATCTTCCTAACCCAGGGACTGAACCCACATCTCTTATGTCTCCTGCATTAGCAGGCGGTTTTCTTACCACTAGCACCATCTGGGAAGCCCCTTTTATTTATATACCACTGCTTATTAAAGTAACAGTCTGTTGTTGGTGTTTAGTTGCTAAGTTGTGTCTGACTTTTTGCGACCCCATGGACTGTCGCCTGCCAGCCTCCTCTGTCCATAGGATTTCCCAGTCAAGAATACTGGAGTGGATTGCCATTTCCTTCTCCAGGGGATCTTCCCAACCCAGGGATCAAACCCATGTCTCCTGCACTGGCAGGTGGATTCTTTACTGGTGAGCCACAGGGATGCCCATAACCACCTGCAGACAAACGCTGGGTGGCTTCTAAACATTACTTCTTCTAGGTACAAAAGATTTTACAGCACACACTGGTGGGTTCTCCCAGCCTCCATTCCCCCTCTCCTCTCCTGTGTGGTACTGATGTGTGGGTAGGCTTGGTCCCACTCCACTTCCAGAAACGGGCTCTGATTGGTCTAAGTCAACACACCGGACAGAGGGCTTTAGATTTTGGCCAAGATGGAGGAACAGGGATTGGACTGACCTTCTAGGCTGAAATAACTAGGAAGGGACAAAATATGTGAAACAATAATTCCTAAGACACAAAACACCCTAAGGGATTCAAAACAAGGTGAGCCTCAGGCCTACCCAGCTACTGCCTTGAGAGCGAGGAATAAGGTGGGCTCCCCGAGGGCAGAGACAGAGCTGAGAGTCTGGGGAGGTGACAGTGGTTGGAGTTCAGGAAGATGAGTGGAGAGGACAGCCACACAGAGAGGCCCCCAGACATCTGCAGAGAACCCCCAAGTCCTCAGCAGTTCATTCATGTGAGGAAAAAAATCACCTGAAAGGATCAGACTGAAGCTCACAGCAGGAGGAGAACGGGGCTCGGTCCCGTCAGCCAGACTAGAAGATCTCATAACCCACATGCACTGAGTAGGATACTCTTAAGGGTCTTGCCTCAGTAGTAGAGAAGAATTAGACCTCCCTACACTGCTCTGTTCCTGTCTAAGCAATTTTATTTATTTTTTTTTACAATCAATTTTATTTTAATATAATCTAAACACATACCATTTAGAAAATACCAAGAAAAATGTCTGTACAAGAGTTGATGCTATTGCATTTGGATAAAGCTGGCAAGTTCTTGCTACTAGCATAGCCCAGGAAACACCACCGAGGAAGCGTAATATATTGGAATAGATGTTGTGGCGTTTGGCCCATAGTTTGATAGCTCTCAGGGTTAACCTGAAGTTGTCAATGTTTGGTACTAGATGTAAAATTTCATCAGTTACCCTGCAACCGTTAAGACTTCTTATCCATCTTATATCTAAATTTTTAAGCAGACTGTCAGCTCTTAAGTCCAAGTCTTCTGGAATAGTCTGCAGTGCTAATCTTAAAAACAAAATATCAATCTCTATCCCATAAAAACACAGTTTGATAACTGGTACAAATGCCTCTTCAACAGCTCTTAAATCTTTTACTTCTTCCTGTAATTTCAACTTATCATAGAACGAGGTGAAAAAATCCCTTTGATCGACATGTCTTGGTGCAACTCACAATGCATCAATATCAGCACCTTTTGTATGTACTCCTAATCTATAAGATCCAAATGTAAAAATTTTCCCACCAACATTTTCAGTTACAGATTGTGGAAGATTCTTGCTTTCACTGATTGCTTGTATCCACTCTTTTACCAGGTTATTTAATTTTCCCAAAATTAAAATCCTGCGCTGCAGTTCCTCTGTCTCTTCAAAAACCCCAAAGGGCTTCAGAGTCTCAACTAGCTTCTGTGTGAGCAGGCAGTCAGTCTCCTTGGGGGCTGCTAAGCTGATGGGAGGAGTAATGCCATAGTGCTTCTGTGGCAGCTATGTTTGCTGTGATCCCTGTGTTGTGACTGGAAATGGCATGTCTGCTGCGCCGGCACCGCCCAGTCACTCCCCGCCCCGCCCCGCGCCCCGCCACCGAGGCGGGAGGGAGCGGGGCGGGGGCCTGCCTTAGCCCTGGGTCCTACCCCCCTAAGCAATTTTAAAAGCAAAGCCTGGGAAGATCCATCTGTTTCCATGAAGCTAAGCTGGGTCCCAGAATAAAGCTCAACAATGTTAACAGGAATATCCATTCACAGTGCCTGCTATCCTACCAAAGACTACTTGGCATGCAGAGAAGCAGCAAAGTACACCCGCAAAAAGGAGAAAAATTAATCATGCGAAGCCAACCCTGGGCTGGGAGAGAATTAGAACTGGAAGATAGAACATTAACAGCTATACTGTATTTCATACAGTCACAAGGAAGATATTTTAAATATGCTATATAAAGACACGGAAGATATTAAAAAGACTCAAATAGAACTTCTAGAAATGAAAACTATAATATGTGAGATGGAAAAGGTACTGAATGGAAATAATGACAGATTTTACAATAGAAAACACTAGTGAACCTGAAGACACAGCAATAGAGACTGTCCCAAAATGAAACAAAAACCTAAAAAAATGAAAAAGTGTAAATGAACAGAGCATCAGTGGACTGTGTCACAACTTCAAGCAGCCTACATACATATAACTTGAGTCCCAGAAAAAGGGAAACAGAAAAAAATATTTTAAAGATAAGGGAAGGAGTTTTTTCAATTTGATGGAAACAATAAACCTAGAAGTCCAAGAAGCCGAATAAACTCCAAGTACAAAAAACATGAAGAACACTACATCCTGGAACATCAAAATCAGACTGTCGAGTCCATGATGAGGAGAAAATCTTACATGCAGCCAGAAGTTGCATATATATGCAAACAATACAGATGACAGGAGACTTCCTGTCAGAAACAATGCAAATGAGGATTCAGTAGAACAGCATCTTTAAGGTACTGAAAGATAAATACTGTCACCCTAGAATTCTATGATTTGTTAAAATGTGTTTAAAACATGAACGTGAAATAAAGACACTTTCAGATGTACAAAAATGTAAAGGATTCATCACTGGTAGACTTGTACTATAAGAGATATAAAAGGAATGCCTTAGGCAGAAGAAGAATGATACCAGATAAATCTACATAAAGGAATGAAAAACACTGAGAGATGAGTACAGGGAAAAACACTTAAATTTCTTTAAAAGATAATAATTACATAAAAATAATAACAACATAGGGTGGGATTTCTAACACATGTAGAAATATATGCCAACAGACAAAGACCAAGGCAGGTAAATGGAAGTATAGTATTTTAAGTTTTTTATACATGAAGTGGTATAATATCTCTAGAAGACAGACTGTAAAAAATTAAATACATACACCATAAACTCTAAAGCAACAACTAAAATAAACACCACTTTAAATACCAAGACATACATAGGTTAAAAGTAAAAGATTAGAAAGAGATATAAGATTAATCAAAAAAAAGCTAGAGAGAAAATATTAATATAGACAAAGTATATTTTAGAGGAAAGAAAATACAAGGGATAAAGAAAGTCATTTCACAATGATAAAAGGATCAATTAATCAAAAGGACAAAACAATTCTAAACCAGACCCTGATGCTGGGAAAGAATGAGGGCAGGAGGAGAAGAGGGTGACAGAGGATGAGATGGTTAGATGGTATCACTGACCCAATGGACATGAGTTTAAGCAAACTCTGGGAGATGGTGGAAGACAGGGAAGCCTGGCGTGCTGCAGTCCATGGGACAGCATAGCAAAGAGTCAGACAGAGCTTAGCAACTGAACAACAATATGCACAAATTAAGACAGCTTCAAAATGCACAAAGTGAAAACCAACAAAACAGCAATGAGAAATAGACAAACCCACAATTATGGCCAGAGGCTTCAACACCCTTCTGAGGTACAACAAGTATTCAGAAAATCAGCGGACAGAGAATAACTGAACAAACTATCAACCAACCTGACCTAGTTTATACACTGATAGAATATTCAACCCAACAGAGACAAAATAAACATCCTTTTCAAGTGAATACAGAACATTTACCAAGATAGACCATATTATAGACCATAAAACAAGTCTCAATAAATTCAAGAGTTCAAGTTTTGTATTTTCTCTGACCACAATGGGATTATATCAGAAATCAATAAAGAAGTATGGAAAATCTCTAAATGTTTGCTAAATAATATATGATGAAATATCAGTTCAGTTCAGTCGCTCAGTCGTGTTTGACTCTTTGTGACCCCATGAATCGCAGCACGCCAGGCCTCCCTGTCCATCACCAACTCCTGGAGTTTACTCTAACTCATGCCCATCGAGTTGGTGATGCCATCCAGCCATCTCATCCTCTGTCATCCCCTTCTCCTCCTGCTCCCAATCCCTCCCAGCATCAGGGTCTTTTCCAGTGAGTCAACTTTTCGCATGAGGTGGCCTAAGTATTGGAGTTTACATATGAAAATATAAAAGATTTCAAAGAAAATATTAAAAGGAATATTAGGCAGCATTTAACATGATGAAAATGAAACAAAATACATCAAAATGTGTGAAATGCAGCTGAGAGTAAAAGGAAAGTTTATACTCAAATTCACTAAGGAAGAAAAACGTCTGAAATCAATGACTTCAGCTTATATCTTAAGAAACTCGAAAAACAAGAGTAAGGTAAAACAAAAGTAAGCAAGGATTTCCCTGGTGGTCCAGTGGTTAAGACTCTGCACACCCAATGCAAGAGGCCTGGGTCAATCCCTGGTCAGGGAACTACAGAATTGATATTATTTTTTCCTTAAATGTTTGCTCAAACTTACTAGTAAAACCATCTGGGCTTGGAGTTTTCTTATTGGAGAAGTTTTTATCAACAAATTCAGTTTTTTAAATAGATATGAGGCTATTCAGGCTTCCTACCTCTTGAGTGATTTTAGTATGTATCTCTCAAGCAATTGGTCAATTTTGTCTAAGTTGTCAAGTTTATTGGGAAAACTTATTTATAATGTTCTATTGTTATTCTTTTGATATCTAGTGATGATAGGATCTCTAGGGATGTTTCCTCTATCATTTCTGAAATTGATAACTATCTTCCCTTTTTTCCCCCTGATCAGTCTTACTACTAGAGTTTGATCAATTTCATTGTTCTTTGCAAAGAACCAGCTTAAAATTTTATTGTTTTTCTCTATTATTTTTCTGTTTTCTACTTAAAAGATTTTTTACTCTGATCTTTATTATTTCCTTTCTTCTGCTTCATTTTTTAAAATTTGGCTGCACTGGGTGCTAGTTATGGCATGGTCCTCAAACCCAACTCATCATCAGAATAGGGTGTAAACCCCAGGAATATGGGCTTCCCAGAAAGCAAAAGACAGATGCAGCTCAAGACCATCTGGGCTCTGATTCTGTTTTCTCTCCTTAGATTAAAGAGGTGGACTTGCAGATGCTAAGACTGGTGTAAGATCAGGAGAAAACCTTATCAGTAAATATTCCTTATTCCTTAAATGAAAGCAGACAGATTTCAGTATGAATTCTTTCAAAGTAGTATTAACATAAGACCAAAATATACGAAGTCTAGTGGCATATTAAAAAAAAGAGGTTTCTGTATCAGGCAAGACCCCCACCTTGCACGGACTGACTGTGTCACTGACTGCTCCATGCCCACATAGGTATCCGAAGCATTAAGAACACATACACTAAAAGATATGCATCTGCTCTCATCCTGAGGGACTAGTTCAATTCCAAGAAAAGTCTACCTGTGGCTAATTAGAAATAATAGAAAAATATATAGAAATAAACTAATCTCACAATAGCTGTGTCTTTCTCTGGTCTTTTCCCACCATTTTATTGTCAATAAAATGCTCTCCATATCAAAGGGTGGTGTGAGGGTTAAGAGAATTAATTTATATGAAGAACTAAGGGCAGGGGATGGTACACAGTAACAGCTCAGCATGTTCACTTATATTCCACTGAAGACCAGCAAAGATTAAGTTAGACACAATCTGAAAACCTGATTGGACATGTTTATCACCATTTCCTCACCTATCAAATCCTTATGAAGAAAGCAAAAGTCAAAAGAACAGGTGAGAGCAAAATGGAATAAAAAGGAGACATCAGAATAATTTACTAAGTCACTATGTTAAAGGAAGACAGCTTCAAACATACACTCCTCATTTATCAGACCAGTACAAAAATTTGAATATGTTTATATGTATAATCTACCTAGTCACCACTGCAGTCCAAGTTCAAAATGAACACACTCTTTCAAGGTCAGCAACAAAGTGACCCAAGGCAGTCCCAACAATAATTGCATTAATAATGGTGAAGACTAATTGATGGCTCACTACTACATACCAGGTACCATCCTAGGTGCTTCACATGTGTCAGAAGAGTTGACTGGCAAATGACATAACTAGCAGATACAGTCCAAAATATGTTGACCATTATAAACGTGATGATATTTCCAAAAATACTTTACTGGAGAAAAAATATCCATCTTAAACATCTTTACTAAGTAAATGGTATTAAAGACTTGTTCTTACAATGGTTGTATTTAACGTTGCATGTATTCTAAAGTAAAAGCTATCGTGGTACCTGAGTCTGGTAGTGGGATGTCGACAAAGACACTGCTGGAGCTGCACTGGCTTGTGTCCAGGCTGAGAGTCGCTGTGCTCAGGGTCCATGGAGCTCCTCCTTCAGCGTCTGTGGACTGTCCATTAGTGGGAATTTCTGATGCAGGTACAGCTGGGATCTGGGAAACAGCTGGTGATGTAATAGTGGAAAGAAAAATTCCCAACAGGAAATTCATATTACAAACCTGAACAGCTTACAGACATTTATAACCGATAGGTTAAAATCTATTGGCTATGTAGAGGCAATATGAAACTAGGATTGTTTGTGATTACAATGAAATAATTAAAGGCAAAAGAAGAAAGAAAAACAGGGCTTCCCTGGTGGTTCAATGGTTAAGAATCGACCTACCGCAGGGGACACGGGTTTAATCCCTGGTCTGGGAAGATCCCACATGCCGCAGAGCAACTAAGCCTGCGGGCCACAACTACTGAGCCTGTGAGCTCTAGAGCCCATGAGCTCCAACTACGGAAGCCAAAGTGCCTAGAGCCTGTGTTGTACAACAAGAGAAGCCACTGCAATGAGAAGCCAATGTGCTGCAACAAAGAGAAGCCCCTACTCGCCGCAACTATAGAAAGCCCGCATGTACAATGAAGACACAGTGCACCCTAAAGTAATAAAACAATAAATTATTTAAAATGCTTTTAAAAAAAAAGAGGAAAGAGAAACAGAGAGGGGTGCTCTCTTGATCTAACTACGGAAGACACCCCTCTCACCTTGCAGTGCCTGGACGTCATCCGCTCTGTGGCTTTGTCTGTCCTCTTCTGAGGATGAGGAAGTTGTATTTCCAGAGGAGATACACTTCCTCTTCAAAGCTGGGATGTGGTAGCTCTTCAGGTACCTGTGTATTAATAATTCCGCCATGTATTCCTACCTGCCCCAAACGTGGTCACCTCTCACCTCTATGCTTTCCTTATGCCATTTCTGTTTGGGGTATTTCACTGTCTTCTTGGGTGAAGTCTTCCCTGACCATCTGGGCCCCCATCAAGGGATTCTTATATATTCCCTTGCTAGGATCTTGCACTGATTTTCACAACTTAGTTCTTAAGAGCACAGGTCTTGTCTTCTCAACTATATTCAAAGAAGGGAAGCATCTAACTTTCAGGATCCCCTGAATTGTTCAATTTATTATGAATTGTAGGTAGCATGTATCTACTGATATATAGTGAAAAATCAAGACAATAGCTGGTGAAAAATCCAGACAACAGCTATTAAAAATGATATAAAGGCTCCACAGTGACAACACACACTTCTGGAAAAACTAACATGTTATCAAAACTTGTGTCTCATACCTGATAACACTATCAATACAGTTTATCTGCTGATAGGATGGGCTATGCTGATCCTTTCTCAAATCCTCACAGGACTCAGTGTATATGCTATTATTTTTCACTGTCTGGAAAGAAGAGCAGGTCTTCTGCTCATCTGAAATAGAATGAAAGGATGTCCATTAAAAATATATTCTTGAGAATATATACTTATTTAACAAAATTAAATCATGATATTTTAGGATAGATATATGGTACTTTAGAATAGACATGCTCAATATTATATAGCTATTAAAAATGAGCTCAGATCTAAATAAGCAGATATAGAAAGATACCACACAGAACAATCACATGAACAACTGCATATGTACCTTTTAAAAAAGGAGTGAAACAAATGTTTCAGGCAAAGCTTATCAAGGAAGAAGCAGGTGAAAGATGAAAGGCTGATGGGGACTTTTACAATGCTGCTACCTGTACAACTGATGGATCCTGGCATCACTAAGCAGGGGGTGACAGACACAGTGTGGTGACAGAAAGTGCATGGCACTGCCTGTGCTGAATTGGTGTCCAACAGAACATTCTATGATGACAGAATTGTCTTTTATCTATACTGTCCAACCTGGTAGCCACTAACACCACATCCAGCAACCAAGCACTTGAAGTGTGGTTACAGCAAAAGAGGAACTACATTTTATGTTTTATTTATTTGTAATTTATTTGTATTTAAATTGCAAAATGTGGCTAGTTGTTACCAAATCAGATAGCAGAGGTATAGAGAGAGAAAAAAAGACCACAGGCTGGAGCACTGAAGAACTTTCTGTACAGAAGAAGCAGCCAATAGAGGAGACTTATCCAACCACCAATTTATTCTCTGTGTCTATGAGCTTTTTTGCTGTTGTTTATTTCTAGATTCCACATATAAGTGAAACCATATGCCATGTGTCTTTCTTATTTCACACAGCACAGTTCTCCTAAAGTCCTTTTGCTGTCACAAGGGAAGAATTTCATTCTTTTTATGGCCAAATAGTATTCTATTCTCTATTTATACCAGTTCCTTTATCCATTCATCCACGGATGCACACTTAGGTTGTTTCAGTGTCTTGGTTATTGGAAATAATTCTGCAATGAACATAGTGATGCATGTATCTTTTCAAATTAGTGTTTTCATTTTCTTCAGATAAATACTCATAAATGAGACTGCTGGATTATATGGTAGTTTCATTTTTAACTTTTTGAGGAACCGCCATACTTTTTTCCACAGTGGCTGTACCAACTTACATTCCCATCAATAGTATAAAGGGGTTCCCTTTCTTCCAGGTCCTCACCAACACTTGTTATTTCTTGTCCTTTTGATGGTGGCCATTCTGATGGGTGTGAGGTGACATTTCATTGTGGTTTCGATATGCTGTGGTCTCCAACTATAGCTGTGGATTTGTTTATTTCTCCTTGAAGTTTTTTATCAATTTTTGCTTCATATTATATATTTTGAAGCACTGGTGTTAGGTGCATCAACAGTCTTGTTTTATGTTCTCAGAGAATCAATCTCTTAGTCTTTATGCAATATCGCTCTGAAAGCCTTGTTCTAAAGGCTTGTTACTGTGTCTGACCTTAGTACAGGGCTTTCCAGTTTTCTTTTGACTCCTGTTAGCATGGCACATCTTTTCTAACCTTTTACTTTTATCCTATGTTTTTAATATTCAGAATGGGTTTTGTTGACAATATACAGTTGCATCTTGCTTTTCCATCCAATCTGACAATTTGTCTTTTCACTGGTATATTGAGATCATTCACATTTGATGTGATCAATGCTGTTGGATTAAAATGTACCCATTTTTTAAAATTTTAATTGGAGGATAATTACAATATTGTGATGGTTTTTGCCATACCTCTTGCTAGGTATTTTCCATTTGTTCCATCTGGGTTTTTTGGTTTGTTTCTTTTTTCTTCCTTTTCAGTCTCACTTGGGTTAAGTGTTTTAAATTACATTTTACCAAGTCTACTGACATTATTTATACTTCTTTAAAAGTTTTTACTAATAATTATCCTGAAGTTTACATACATATTGTAAGAAGTCAGTTTCTATCTCATCAATATACTCCAAATAATAAAATTTGGAAGGAATTTTACAACAATATATTCCCAATACCTAGCTCCTGTTCTTTGCAGTATTTTTTACACACATTATAAATGCAAAATATTCTTTTTGTTTTAGTCAGTTATCTTTTAGAGTAACTAAAAAAATAAAATGTATTTTATCTTAAGTGCATAAGTATTAGTCACTCAGTCATATCTGACTCTTTGGGACCCCATGGACTGTAACCAGCCAGGCTCCTCCGTCCATGGACTTCTCCAGGCAAAAATGCTAGAGTGGGCAGCCATTCCCTTCTCCAGGGGATCATCCTGACACAGGGATTGAACCTGGGTCTCCTGCACTGCAGGCAGATTCTTAGCCATCTGAGCTACCAGGGAAGCCCATGGTATTTCATCTTAATTTATTCCATTTCCAGTGTTCTTCATTGGTTTGTGTAGATTCAAGTTTTATGTCTGGCATCCTATTCCTTCTACCTTTACAAATTCCTTTAGGATTCTTACAGAACAAATTTAATGCTGGCAGTAAATTCCCATAGCTTCTGTTTGAGAAAAATCTTTGTATCTCCATTTCTGAAGGATGCTTCCCACTAGGTGTATAATTCTACATTTATGGCTTTCTCCTTTGAAGATTTTACTGTCTTCTAACATTCATGGTTTCTGAAGAAATGTATACTGTAATTCTTATTCTTATCCTTCTTTCTCTGTTTATAATCTTTTTTCTTTTGGTTACCTTCAATATATTCGCTTGGTTTTATTTTAGTTTGAATATGATATGCCCACGCATTTTTTTTTTTTTTTTTGTATTTATGCTACTTGATGTTCTTTGAATGTGGAAAATCTCAGCCATTATTTCAAGTATTCTTTCTGGGATTCCAATTACTCCTAATAGATCACTTAATCCTGTCCTCAATTTTTTTTTTTTTCCAGCTGGGCCACATGGCATGCAGGATCTTAGTTCCTCAATCAGGGACTGAACCCACACCTGCTGCACCGGAGTCATGGCATCTCAACCACTGGGCAGCCAAGGGAGTACACCTAAATTCTTAGGAGATTCTACCCTGTATGTCCTGTTCTCTTTCTGTCTCAGATTGTGTCATTTTTATTCATCCACCTTCAAGTTCATTGATTCTCTTCTTAGTTGAGTACCCATCAATGGCATTCACTTACCTCCAGCGTTGTTAGCATTTGCACTTGATTCTTTCTTTTATGTTGCCTCTCTAGGCTGTGATTCCTTATGTGGTTTTGCACGTTGCCTACCTTATCCTTTGGATCCTATATTCATTATTCAGTTATTTCCAATGTCTGTGTCCTGCCTGACTCTTGTTCCGATGACTGTTTTGTCTCTTAGGAGGTTTTTTCCCTTGTTTTTCGTATGTTTCATAATTTGCTGAGAACTGAACATATTATATCAGACAGCAGGGACTGGGCATGGCTTCCCTTCCACTATATCAGGGTCAATCTAATTAAGCTCTAGGCCAGGCTAAAAGCCTACTGTTGCTATGATGTCACTCAGTGTGTGATAGCCTTCGGCTCCCCCCAGTGTCACTCTGCTCCAGGTGGGGGCTGGTCTCCTGAGAGCTCTTCTTTTCCAACGTCTGCCCCACTTTCAGGTTCTGGGCTGCCCTTTGCACTGTGCCTCAGAGAAGGTCCGTCTCTTGCAGGTGACAAGATTCAGTCAGTTACAGGATCCAGCACTTACTTCACTTCATGTAAGCATGTGCCTCTCCTCAGATTATAGGCCTGCTGGCTGTCCTGTACCCTCAGCACTCTGATGGGTTCAAGAAAGATCATGAAATTAATGCCTGTCTGGGCTTTTTCCTTGTTAAGTTTGGAATGAATTAGTTAAGTTCATGAGTCATCTTCCACCTGGGTTTTGTGTTACCCTTGCAGCAGAACATTCAATTTTCCCTAATTTCCCCAATTACTTCTCTGGCAGCAGGTTATCAATCAGTACAAACAGATGATGAAGGGACTTTACATGTCTCTGTTGTTCCTTGTCCTGCCATAATACATTTAAGTTTCCCTTCTTAAGTGTGTGTGAGTGCTCAGTTGTGTCTGACTCTTTGCGACCCCATGGACTGTAGCCTGCCAGGCTCACCTGTCCATGGGGTTTCCCAGGCAAGAATGGTAGGGCGGATTGCCATTTCCTTCCCCACGGGACCTTCCTTCTCCCAGGGATTGAACACATGTCTCTTGTGTCTCCTGTATGGGCAAATGGATTCTTTACCATTGTGCCACCTGGATGCCCTATTATTCTTTCTTATTCTTTTCTAAAGCATGCCCTGCCTTTATAAGAAGGATAAACATGTATACTTAAAACCCTGTGCTCTTGTGTGCTGCAGCACCCTGTATATAAAACATTTATACAACAACCACTTAATATTTTCCTTCTCATTGGTGTATGTCTCTACTCAATTTCTAATACTTAAATTATAACATTTTCCATCTTTAAGTTGTATCCCTGTTCTCTTGAGTAATAAAGATTTTTTTACTAGCTCTTTAAACTTGTAGGTCTTAAAAGGTTAATAAAATCAAGATGCCCAAGTAATTATCAGTTCTCTGAGGTTAGTCCAAATGGCAACAGATTTTCCCCCAGTCACATCCCATGTGTGCTCACTAAATATAACACATGTTAGAAAATATAAGTTTCTAAAAGCAGCATAAGTACACAGAGTTAGCTATAGCTTAAATTTTATAAGATGGTGAATGAAGTACTGATGTCTGCTTAGATATATAGCTTCAAACAACAGTACTGGTGGCATTGCCAGACCAATGGTAGATAATAGGAAACTGGATAAAGCAGGAGCTTAGAAAGAATTTCTACTCTGGGAAGAAATTCCAGAGGTCAGGACACAAAAATCTCATGAACATGAGATCAGAGGTCAAGGCAGAAGCAGGTAGCACTGACTGGATCAGACAATGAAGAAAACATTTAGAGATTTTAGATTTAAAATCTCCCCTAAAGAATTTTCTCTACCAGGACATGGGATAATGATGAAGAGCAAGAAAGGTATTTAAGATAAATCCTTCTGTGGAGGATATCTGATGGTGTCAAGAGACAAAAAAAGTTGTCTTTTCTATCTTGTGCCCTTACATCTACAGCAAAAGAAACAAACAGAACATGAAACCTTCTGTCAAGGTGAAGAAAAAGTACAAAAACCTAAAGTACAGGACTTTCTGTATCCAGAGGACATCCTATGGACTCCCAGTGATACCACCTGTAGGAGCCACAGTTTGATATTTTGTTGTGGAAATCATGTCAAGTCCCAAAAAAACACAGCTATTATATTATTACTGACTGTATTTTTTTTTAATTTTTTTTTCCATTTATTTTTATTAGTTGGAGGCTAATTACTTTACATCATTACAGTAGTTTTTGTTATACATTAAATTTCACCCTACTGTGTAAAACACCCATTTGACAATGGTAGAAACCATCAATTACATTTAGGTGACCAAAATCAACAATAGCTTCAAACATTATATTAATATTTGGGGAGAAAAATTAAAAGAGAAACTTACATAAGTTAAGAAGTTATGAAACTTATACATATGTGAAGTGAAGTGAAGTGAAAGTCACTCAGTAGTATCTGACTTTTTGCGACCACATGGACTGTAGCCTGCCAGGCTCTTCCGTCCATGGTATTATCCAGGCCAAAATACTGGAGTGGGTAGCTGTTCCCTTCTCCAGGGGATCTTTCCAACCCAGGGATCAAATCCAGGTCTCCCAGATTCTTTACCATCTGAGCCACCAGGGAAGCTCGTGTGTGTGTGTGTGTGAAGTTACAGATATATCAATTTCAGTTCAGTCGCTCAGTCATGTCCAACTCTCTGTGATCCCATGAACTGAGCCAGGCCTCCCTGTCCATCACCAACTCCCGGAGTTCACCCAAACTCATATCCATTGATTGGTGAAGCCATCCAACCATCTCATCCTCTATCGTCCCCTTCTCCTCCTGCCCCCAATCCTTCCCAGCATCAGGGTCTTTTCCAATGAGTCAGCTCTTCGCATCAGGGGGCCAAAGTATTGGAATCTCAGCTTAAGCATCAGTCTTTCCATTGAACACCCAGGACTGATCTCCTTTAGGATGGACTGGTTGGATCTCCTTGCAGTCCAAGGGACTCTCAAGAGTCTTCTCCAACACCACAGTTAAAAAGCATCAATTCTTTGGGATCAAGATTTCTTTATACTCCAACTCTCACATCCATACATGACTACTGGAAAACCATAGCCTTGACTAGATGGCTTTGCCAACAAAGGACCAGCATCATCCAGCCCAGGATTTCTCATGATATACTCTGCATATAAGTTAAATAAGCAGGGTGACAATATACAGCCTTGACATACTCTTTTTCCTATTTGGAACCAGTCTGTTATTCCATGTCCAGTTCGAACTGTTGCTTCCTATCTTGCATACAGATTTCTCAGGAGGCAGATCAGGTGGTCTGGTATTCCCATCTCTTTCAGAATTTTCCACAGTTTATTGTGATCCACACAGTCAAAGGCTTTGGCATAGTCAATAAAGCAGAAATAGATGTTTTTCTGGAACT